TGTGACCGGAGTTCTTTCTTTTAAAAGTTTGACTAATACTCCATTGTATGTATATACCATATTTCCTTTATCCATTTATCCTGCAATGGACATTTGGTTTGCTTTCACCTCTTGGCTATGTATAAATGCTGCAATAGACAAGGATGTGCAAATATCTCTTCGAAATGGTGTTTTCAATTTTTTTTTATGTATAACCAGTGAGATTGCTGAATCATATAGTAGTTCCATTGTTACTTTTTTTGAGTTATCTCTATACTGTTTTCAACATTTCACATTCCTACCAACAGGGGATGGGGTTCTAATTTCACCACCATCCTTGCCAACACTTGTTATCTTCGGTTTTTCTGTTTGTTTTTAACAGTGGCCATCTAACAGGTGTGCAGTGATATCTCATTATGGTGTTGATTTGCATTTGCCTCATAATTAGTGACGTTGAGCACCTTACCCTGTGCTTTTTGGCCATTTGTCTATCTTTGTGGCTCCGCAATATATAATCAGGGGTTTCTAGAGCGCATTTAGGTGCCCCGGGGCTTTTGGTGTAGAAAGATTGGGACACAGTCACATTGCACTGGACAATCAAAAGGCAACCCACATCTCACTTACATGCTGAGTAAGCAGCCTGGGCATCGCCTGATACTTCACTTTGAAAACAAGCCATTGATGGCTGTATGCCCATGGGTAATAAGCTATTGATGGATATAAGGGAAAAGGGCGAACTGAATAGATGTATTTCACTTGAAAAAGATAATTTCTCTCCCTCTGGCATTTTATGTTAAAAAAAAGAGAGATATTTTAAATTTAAAAAGAGACATTAAGAATTTCTGCTACTTGCTTTCTCTGTTAGTGAATTTTCATAATGAATTATAAAATGACCCAACTCATTTTTTGAAGGCACTATGTTAACAACAATCTTTCCCAGTGTATGAGAGCAACTGCAAGCAGTGATGGAAAGAAGGATTGTCCATACATTCAAGTTGGCATAATGAAGGGCGGGGGCCATTGTGTCACTGCTCACAGGGCAAAAAGGAGGTGTCGTGGAGCCTGGAACAGGCAATGAGTGAAATTCTTACTCTCCTTTTCTGGTCTTCTCACCCCCAATTTTTTGTATTCTTTTGGCTTTACCTGCTGAAGACGCATGCCTCTGATACAGCTGCTTGTTGTGAATCACTATTTGAAAGTCCACACGCATCTTGAAATTCCTAACGGCTTTTTACCCCCCACATTAGTTCGCACACACCACTTTCACTGCTAGTACTTGAAAGGAACTAAGACATCATATAACCGAACGTTATAATTTTACAGATGAGAAAACCAAGACCCTGAGAAATTCAGTAATTCTTGAAAGGTCACCTGAATCGTTAACAGCCTCATTTCTGATTTTTCCTATTTCTTTTTCCTGACAATGGCTCTGCCACCTCCCAAATACTCAGGATCTTACCTGGGGATAATTTCTGAGTCCTCCCTACTTCTTATTCCTTTTACAACACCAGTCACCAAGTCTTATTGATTCTTTCTTTTAAGACTCTGGTATTGTCAACTCTCCAGTATTTCACTTTTATGGCTTCAACACCTCATTACCCCATCCCTGAATATCCCAAGTGATTATAGTAGTCTCTTTATCTAATATGCCTACCGCCTTATCTGATCTACCAGGTATTCTGCACTCTGGCTGCTCATTGCATTGACCTGGGGCACATCCTTCACCCCCACTCCCACCCCACCATGCTGATTACATTTACTTGATCTGGAGAGGCACCTCTATGGGTATTTTTTAAGCACGAGTTCCCCAGGTGATTTTAAAGGGTAGTCAGGATTGAATACCCTTCCCAGAGATGTTTTCTACCCCCGCTAAGACACTTTGATCCTCAAGAATCTTCTATGCCTCCTCCTTGCTGTTGGCTTTCAGATATCTGCCTCTTCCAAGCATTCAAAATTCTTACACTTCTCCTTCCTCTGCTTCTCGGTAGGAACCCTATGCTCTAGTCATATCACTCAATTCCTAGCATCAGACTTATTTCCCACAATATCCTACTTCCATTTTTTTAAAAAAAATATTTTTATTGATTTCAGAGAGGAAGAGAGAGAGAGAAACATCAATGATGAGAGAGAATCATTGGTGTGCTTCTGCACACCCCACACTGGGGACCAAGCCCGCAACCTAGGCATGTGCCCTTGACCGGAATCTAACCTGGGACCCTTCAGTCCGCAAGCCGATGCTCTATCCACTGAGCCAAATTGTTTAGGGCCCCAATTTCAATGACTTGTTACTCATGTGTCAGCATGTCCCACGGACGTACCTCTCTCTGTACATAGTGGGTCTCTATAGGAGACCTCGTCCCACTCATGGCTCTAGCTGTTCTCTCAGGACCCCTGGTGCTCTGGCTCCAGCCCTTAGGCTCCTTATCCAAGTGCCATCTATGTGGCTGCTTCACTTAACGGTTCTCAAGTCCCAAACTGACCCCATTTTTCTCTCCTAAACTTGCCCTTTCACCTGTATGGTATCATCTTCCACTTGGTCCTGGGTCACAGGTCTCCTCTGATTCTTTTCTGCATATTCATTATTCATCAAGTTTTGTTACTTCCATCAGTGAAATCTCTGAAACATCTCCCAAACCATTTCCATCACCACTTCTCTATTTTTTTCCTCACATCAGCTTCCTCAACTTTTACAATAACATAACTGCCTCCAGTTTCTTATAAAATCCATCTTAAATACTATGGAGATATATTTCCAAATATTTTATCCTCCCCCTTAAACTATTTTTGCTGGTGTCTGATTATATAAAATTCGAGTTCCTTTGCTTGGCACAGAAGGCCCTTTTTTATAGAGCCCCACTTTAATATTCTCTCATTTTGTCCCTCCCCCTCTCCCATTTAGCCTGTGTGACAGCTGCTTTACCTCCTGCCCACACTGGTGCAATGCTACCTGTCAGGCAAGGCCCAGCTACCTTGTCACCTCTTGGGTAGCGTAGAATCTTCTACAACTCTGCTAAGTAGATTTAGTGTTTTGGGTCCTTTGACCTCTTATCCTCTTTTGCCAATACTATTCATACTTGTTTCATTGCCTGATTTTCTCTGTAACCCCTACTTGTTTGTGAATACCTATGGGCAGAGACTCTCTTACGTGTCTTTATACTCCTAGCACCAAGCAAGGTGCCTGATAGATGTTTGTGGAACTGAACCAAAACCACAAAGAACCCTTCTCTCCCTCCTCCTCCTCCTCCTTTTGTGTTTAAGCTAGTGACTCTAATGAATTGGTTGATTCAGGTCCCCTCACCTCCATGAATTACAGACCAGTTAAGGTGAATTATATGGCAAGCATGTGCCTGAACCAAGATCACTGGACTAGATTTCCCAATAACTGCACCATGGCTTTATTCCTTCTCTAAGTACTTCGCAGCTTTCTCCTTTATTTCCTAATTTAGGTTTCCTCTTATTAATAACTTCTCCTTGAGAGACAGACACTTTAGAGAAATGACACATTTAAAGTTCCTATGTTTGTAGACATCTTTGAACAATGGTTGCAATGGTACATGTGTGTATATGTAGATATTTATATCGATATGAAACTATTTGATGAGGAAGTGTTAGACCACTTAAATCACTCGGTGAATAATATTGCCTTTTATATTAATATTAAACCAGACCTGGATGGCAATATGCAGGGTCATTAACAATTGGAAAATATATTTCAGAAACATTCAGAGCTAACTGAAAGCGTTTGGTGGAGAGGTGCCCAACCTCGGCTGTGCCTGTGTGGATGCGGTAGAATTAAACTAGAACTGAAAAATGTGTCAGTCTGAGTCAAGCTTCTATGGCAAACCACGGGGATTGAGCATGAGTATCAGTTTCTGTTAAAAAGTCAAGCTGACATTTAAAAATCCCAGTCCTATTACATTGTGCCAGAATCACATGCCCACTTGCAGGATCTGACAGTGGAAAAGAAATGTGGTCTGCTCTAAGGATGTGTTTGAGGGATGAAAAGTTGCTCGGACCATATTTGCAAGGCTATCTATTATATTCTGCTTTATTTATATACTAGAGGCCTGGTGTACGTACTTGTGCACGGGTGGGTTCCAGCTAGCCCACCCCGATTGGGGCCGATCTGCCCAGGCTGACTGGGGGGAGCGGACGTGGGTGTTTGGCAGTCCGGCCCCGCCCCTTGGTTTAACTCCCGGTCAAGGGGATAATTTGCATATTAGCCCTTTATTATATAGGACAGGGTACACTTTTTTCTTAAGAATTTTTACTAAATTTTAGGCTAAAACATAGCCAACACTTGAGAATGTTCGTTTTGAAATAGTGATGAATGCTGTTCAGGTACAAAATTATGACTACTTTCAAAGATTCCCCCCCAACCCCTTGTCTTAAACTTGGTGTAGCACTGAGTATGGAGGAGGGATGGTGTAAGATGCAGTCCTGAGTGGATAAGTGCCACAAAGCAGGCTGGGGAATACTGGGATAGCCAGTGGAGTTCTGAGTTCTAGGGCTGGAATGTCTGGTGGCTGTGGCTCTCTTTCTGTCTGGTGCAAAAAGGGTGGCCTGACTTACTGCTGTCTAAAGTAGGGCTGAGAGGAAATGTTTAGTCATTTGCACTGAAGCCGATGGAGGATTTTTCACTCCAGTCCCAGCTACCATGTCACCTCTTGGTTGGGGTAGAGTCTTCCACAACTGCGCTAAGTAGATTTAGTGTACTGGGTCCTCTGGCCTCTTATCACTCCTTTGCCAAAGTGTGTGGGGCAGAACTTGGCTAGCGCTGCGTCTGCTCTATTCTCCCGGCCCTTCCCCCCTGCTGGGCCATTCATGAACCCACCAACCCTATCACTTATATGGTCTTAGCTATAAATATTTTCAGAGCTCTAGCAGTGATTAGACAAGCTACTATGAAAGAGAGCATTATACATCCGTTAAAAACATATACAAAACCAAAGCTCATTAGAGAAAGATAATATTCATGCAGATTTTACAAACCGTGTCTTTAGGGTGGCCCAATAAGTAGAAATATGGGGACCCATGCTTGTCACTTTTCATGCACATGGAGAGACTGGAAGGTACCATTCCTAAAGGAAGGGGAGGAACAGCCTAGGACCAATCATTAGAATTAACAGAACCAGTGACAAAGATATATTATTACTGTTAGAATCAAGATTGCTTAGTATGTTTAGAGCAGCTGAATAAAAATTATCTAGGCAGTAGGAATAAAGACTTTAAGTAAAGCTAATCATATCAAGCATGCAGCAAGTGAAATTAGTGAAAGACTGAGCTACATGTGTATTCTAAAAGTAGATTTTTCTCAAAATATTGAGGGCATTCTGAGGTGCTTTTAAGGAGGTATAAATTTTTTTTTCCATGATGCAATGGTACTATCAGAATTTTTTCATAATGATGAGGTGTTTCAGTGATATCAGCTGTCATTTGAGAATCAGTCACAGTAATCATTTCCAAAATTTTGAAAAATTCTCAAATTAAAGATAGGGCGTGCTCATGTTTACACTTATGTTTTCTCTAATAATCTCATAAATTCCTATAGTTCCCCTCACCTCTGACAATTTGCTTATTTACAGTCAGAGTTCACAGTTAACTTGCTGGCTGTAATTGTTTTCTGGGAAAAAATACAGCTGACAGAAATGCAGCAATGCCTTGCCTGCTGTACTTGCTGTACACACCTGTCCAGCGCTGTGCTTGAACCCAGCTTCTTGGTAGTTGTTTGGTGAGTGTCTATCTCAGCTCATGGGCTATAGTTTCTTTTTTAAATCCTCACTGGAGGATATGTTTTTATTGATTTTTTAGAGAGAAAGGAAGGGGGTAGGAGAGAGAGAGAGAGAGAGAGAGAGAGAGAGAGAGATATTGATGGGATGACCCCCTATAGGCACTCTGACTGGGATCAAACCCGCAACCTTTTGATGTACAGATGACACTCCAATCAACTGAGCCACCTGGCCAGGCCTCAGTGGTTGTAGTTCTTTATGTAGATAACAATAGGTCCTAGAAATTCAAGGACATCTAAGTCAATAATCTCTAAGAGACAGGCCCCTGGGAGTTGCAACTACTGTCTTTAGGAGAGGAACACCTACTACTGTGTTCTCTCAGCTCCGCACGGTGAGAGGAAAAGGGATGTGAGGTTAATGTGATCAGAAGTGTTTAACTCAGGCAGCTCAGCCCTTTGGAGGCCTGGTCCCCTTTTTGACAGTCTATACTGATGACAGTCCCTTTAAATGCCTAACGTGCTGCACACCTGGTGCTGTGGAGACCTGGCCTGCCTGTGCAGGATGGAATGTGCTCCCGCAGATTTCCGATGACGCCGCATGGCATGGGGTGTTTTCCGGAGCACGGTGTGTGTCTGAGGGAAGGGAGCCTCCGGGTGGGAACTAATACCTCGCGCTTAAATGGAAAGTGGAACCTCTCTGTGGTAAGGAAACGAATGCTTAACAATGAATGTCAGAAGTAGAAATTAAATTTCAGGATTTATTAATTGAATTTACCAGTTACAGTTAGCCCTGCCAAGATGCAAGTAATTTTGTGCAGAAATGATCAAGCTGTTTTAATGTCGCACGGGGAAGGCTCTCATTTGGTTTTAAATGTGGCCTGTAGTGGGCTTGAAAGATACATGTGCTAAGAAACTTCAAGGCCAGAAGGTCAGATAAAAGAGCCCAGAACTGGGTGGAGATAAATTGCCGTGAAGGCCGGGGTCAAAACTGCCAAGAACTGTGAAGAATGGAGAGTTGCGGGCTGCGCTAGACACAAGCCATGCACACTTTATGAGCGTGTATGTCCCGCCCTAAAGCCAGGGTCCTGGCGAGGCCAGGTTCCTGTCTGTTGGGGAGTGCGGCTGAAAGACCAGACACCTTCCTACAGAAGGGCAAAGGTTACTTTGTAAGCAAATGTCTGAGCCACTTTGTAGTCAACAGCTTTTCGGTCCAGGCTATGTGTGTGTTTCTTGTTCTATTAAAAAAATTTGAACCCAAACCACACACTGAAGAATGTGAGATTCTCAAAGTTTGGAGATTTTGCTATAATTAGAGCATATAATTCAAGCCAGGAGTAAGGCATGATATGATTTTATCTTCGGTCCTGACTGAGGGTGTTCAGTTAAGAAGAAGTATTGGGAGGTCTTTATCAGAACAGGTCATCAGGGTAATCTTATCTATGAGCAAGACTGCAGGCAGTGCCCGGCCTGTGTGGCTCAGTGTCAACCCATGAACCAGGAGGTCATGGTTCAATTCCCAATCAGGGCACAGGCCCAGGTTTCGAGCTGGATCCTCAGTACGGGGCGTGCAGGAGGCAGCCAATCCATGATTCTCTCTCAGCATTGATGCTTCTCTCTCTCTCCCTCTCCCTTGCTCTCTCTGAAATCAATAAAAAGGCTGCAGGCAGAGTTCTAGAATAACATAAAAGTGGCCTTATTTCTTCCACCAGAAATGAGTGGCGTAGAGCATTTTAGTTTAGAAATTGAAGCTGGTGGGTTGTTTGGCGAAGGAACACAGGATGGGACAGTAGGCATAGGCCTCTGAAGGGAGGCCTGGAGACTTGACGTTTGCTGGTCCTGGCAGTTGGCTGGACCCAAGAATCTGACTTAAGGACTTCACTTTGAGCACCTGGATAACGGTTTTGTTGGCAAACCTCTTCACAGGGATCAAACCCTTTTCTGCACCATCGCTGCTTTGAGACGAGAGCAAATCAGACAGTGGGAAATAGTTCTGGCATTCAGCACAGCTTCCTACGGGTCTCGCTGAGGGGCTAGAAGCTCACCTTGAAAAGATATTCTCACGCTCTGAACCACACGGTCAGACTCTCCTTAGTGGGGAGGGTGGGAGCTGAGCTCAGATGGTCAAAACGCCTGAGATGGAAAACGGGAGGACAGTGGGAGGAAAATCTGGTCTGCTTTAAAAAGCGCTGTAATGGCTGCATGTCTGGAGGGCTATTCAGACTGAATGGGCAAAAGAGGAGCCGGGTTGAGGGGTGAGGTGCTCTCAAATGGCGGGAGGCCGACAAGACATAAAGAGGGCAGCAAGTGGTAAAAGCTCCTGTGGGCCCAGCCTTTACAAGAGAACCAGAAGAGATAAATACTACAATCTCCAGGGCATGATTTCTCTGGAATGGCACTTTAAAAATATAGAGCCGGGGCCAAATCCGCTCAAGTGTGTGTGTGTGTGTGTGTGTGTGTGTGTGTGTGTGTATGTGTGTGTGTGTGTGTGTGTATCTTTAAAACCACAATGCATGCTTTCTTTTCTCTTAACCTCAATTCTTCATCTCCACTCCCCACTCCTGGTACCATGTAAAAATATTCTCTTCATTCGTGACTTCTTTGTTCCAACGTTGTTACAGTATTCCGCAGCGTTGCCTCTAAGAAATCTGCCTCCTCCCTGGACTTCCGTGGCAGCAGCCCTCCCTCGGGAGAGCGTACTGGCTTCGCGTTGGGGAAGAAGGGGAGTGTTCTTATCAGAGCCTAAAACCTGGCTCAGGAGGTACCAAAGGAAGTGGGATATTTAGGTTTCCAAGATGCTGTGGGAGTGCTTCTCAGGGGGGTTTGGGAAAGAATCTCTTCATTCAGGCATCTCCTGCAACAGCTTAAGCGCTTGGGAATGGAAGGAGGTTGGAACTCAAGAACCAGATGGGTTCTTGGTAGGTTTCTTGCTGACGATATGGTCTAATATATTTTATCATGGTCTAAATGCCTCATGAGTGAGGACTTGGGGAAGGGGGTCACTTACTATATACTTAAAAAGAAAAATGCATGTTGTGCATCATGTAAGACTATCCCACAAGATGGAATATGCTTATAGCCCACAGTTTCCAAATAAATCATGTGAAGAAATGGGATTTTGTCCTCATCCTAGAAACACTGAAAAGAATCAGTGAGGTGTTGGCTGAGCATGGGGAGAGTGATTTCAGAGTTTTGTGTACTTTAAGGAAGCCCCTGCCTGACCCATGAAACAGAAAGCTGCCGGATGTTTCGTGGCGGGACAATCTCCTGGGGTTGCCCAAACGCCACAGAGAGCAGCTTGAGCCCTTCAGCCAGGACGAAGCAGGGCTCTGCCTGGCAGCCTGTGTCTTCCCGGCTCTGACTCAGGAGAGGTGACTGGAGTGATTTGTGGAGCCTCTCATGGAAAAGGAAGATACACTCACCCATGAATGTCAGAAGCTGAAATTAAATTTCAGAATTTATTCTTGAAGCAAGCTGCCTTTTGCTCTATTAAAATGCAGGTGAATTAGTGCAAAGGCTATGGAACCACTTAAAGCTCCCATAAACTTGGCCTCTGAGGAAGAGGCGAAGGCATGGCGACCCTCCCCTCGCCTTTTATTGTGGGGCCTAGGACTCCCCAAGAAAGCCTTGGGATGTGAGGTTACAGTGCCCCAGGCTCCCTGAGGCTGGAGGGGAAGAGTCATGATGAGCAAATTTGCTCGATAAAGTGTTGGCTCACTAACTTGGAATTTAGTATAATTCAGATAAGGTCTAAGGCGACATTTACCTGTACTCAGCAAGTTCTTTCTTCAGAAAAAGTAGGGAGTACTAGTATAAATATTACAAAAGAAAATGCTTAATGAACCAAAGAAGCCAAGTACTTTTCAAGGATCCTTAACACTCTAGAAGTACTAATTACATTCTGTAATTAATAATAAAATATTAATGAAATATATTGGAGCAGATCCTTTGGGACCTTTTAACCCGTCACCAATCTGTTAGATCCGTTGTTACACTAAACTTCATTCTTAGATTGTCAGCTCACTGAGGGCCAGAACTATCTTACCTGTGGTGTCTACAAAGTGGTTGCTTTGCACATAGTAGGTGCTCAGAAAATCCTGGTTTAGTTGAGGAAATAGTAATGATATCAGTGAATGATATTAATTACAGGCTTTGTCTCACATGGCCTATTTGGTAGGGGTATACTGTCTGAGGTTTATCTTTGTATGATCAGAGGGAAGAAAGAACTTAAATAATTGTAAACGATGATAATGCTTACAATTTTACTTGTCAATGTATATTCTTAAGGGATAAACAAGTAAACATTGCCTATTGCCAGATGAGCAGAGACCGGTACTGCTTAATCTGGTGCTCTCAAAGATCATTGTAAAACACTTTT